AAAAAAAAAAAGTCATGGTTTAGGTGGTTCCCTGGTGATGATTTCAACAGGTTGTGACCTCTGAGATCTAGTATGAGTTTGTAATACGTTAGAGTGTGTGCCCAGTACAATAGGCTTCCATTATCTTCGTGTGTGTGTGTGTGTGTGTGTGTGTGTGTGTGTGTGTATGTATGTATGTATGTGCACGCATATGTTGGCTTCAATATCTCAGGACCATCAAATTTTGCTCTTTTTACTTTAAATAACATTGGGCTGAGGTTAAGGTTGTTAAAAAATGATTAAAGAAGACAATTTAGGTCAGTGATGGCGAACCTATGACACGTGTGTCAGAGGTGACACGTGAACTCATTTTTTTGGTTGATTTTTCTTTGTTAAATGGCATTTAAATATATAAAATAAATATCAAAAATATAAGTCTTTGTTTTACTATGGTTGCAAATATCAAAAAATTTTTATATGTGACACGGCACCAAAGTTAGGGCTTTTCAAAATGCTGGCACACCGAGCTCAAAAGGTTCGCCATCACTGGTCTAGGGCTTTGAGGGAGAATGTGTTCCGTGCCTACCTCCCAGCTTTTGGTGGTTTTTTACCATCCCTGGCTTGTAGCTGCATTCCTTCAATTTCCTCCTCTGTCATAACATGGCCTTCTTCCTTCTGTGTGTGTCTTTGTGTCCTGTCCTCATAGGGACACCAGCTGTTGGATTTAGGGCCCATCTTAATTCAGTGTGACCTCTTCTTAACTAATTACATCTGAAAAGACTCTTTTCCCAAGTAAGGTACATTCTGAGGTTCTGGGTGGACATGAATTTTGGGGAAGACACTATTCAACCCCCTACAGTAACCATTATTATGGAAGCATGAAAAAACATGACCTGTTGCTCTCCTCCATATTGGCAAAGTCTTGCAGAGTGTCAAGGAGACTTGAGAATGTCCTGAGGCATTCCTGGAAGAAACATACTTTCTCTTAAATTGTAAAGTTCCATGTCTGTAATGAAGTCCAGAGTAGTTCACATGCCTTCTCTAAGTATCTCATTTCCTTCTCTGTGAAACAGGAGTTAATCTATCAACTAGGAAGTACTGACTGACTCTCTACATGATGCCTATAGCATCCAATAAAAACAAATAACTGTCCTTGAAATTACTTATGACTGTGGGGAGGTCTACCATGGAGCTTTTCAGTCATGCACACTCAACTCTCAGATGACATCATGAATGAAACACTGACCCAGAGAAGGAAAACAAACTTTTGTAAAATACTGGGCCCTTGTAAAAGAGAGAATGTCATGGGTAGACTAGATACTTCAAGTGGGTGTCTATCTGCTAAGGTGATGTTTCTCTTCTCCTGGCTCTTCACAAAGATTGGGAGAAAAGAGAAGGGACGCAGGGAGACAAGAGAAAAGCAGCAGCTTTATTAACAGGATGACAAGAGCAGACTTCATGGTTGTTTGGTGGTGGTTGTTTTCTTAGCTATAAGATTTCACATTCCCCTCTCCAAGTCTTGGCAGGAGTATTTGTTCTTGGGGAGTGACCAGGTTCCATCACTGCTCTGAGCTACAAGTTGAAGCCACAGAACAAGCTGTTAAGTCCCTGTTCCCAGCACAAAGCTTTGTGTTCATGTAATTTTTATCCTTTTTAAATCCACAGCGGGAGAGGCACTACACCTAATTCACTTACCTGCTACTAGTAACGTGGCAGAGAATTCTTCACCTGGGACTTCAGTGCATAAGTTTTCTGTGAAATTATCAGCATCACTGTCACCTGTGATGCCAGGGTTGCCCCTGATAATCAACACCAGTCCTCTCACTGAAGCCTTCAACGTGAACTCTCTGTCAGGCACCGAGTTTGAGGTAGGTACCATCTTACTCGCAATGGGAGTTACCTGCAAAGAAGAGTCCTGAAGATGAGAGGCCTGTGGGATTCTAGAACAGTGATCATTTCTTCCTCTTTCCCTAGTTCAATCTCCCTTATTCTAAGATCCAGAAGCCCTTTTTCAGGCATGCTAGAGCCTTCTGCTGCACTAGGTGCCCCTCTAGCCTTGGAATCCTTTTTCTCTATTTAATCTAGTCCAACTGAACATTACAAATCATCTATAATAATAAAAGCGTAATATGCTAATTAGACTGGACAGCCAAACGACCTTCCGGACGTCATTCCAGATAAAGCTGTGGCTGTGGGGGCTGAGGCAGGGGCGATCAGGCAGGCAGGTGAGTGGGTAGGGGTGATCAGGCAGGCAAGCAGAAGCGGTTAGGGGCGATCAGGCAGGCAGGCAGGCCAGCAGTTAGGAGTCAGTGGTCCCAGATTGCAAGAGGGATGTCCGACTGCCAGTTTATGGAAGGGACTTGCGGGATGGGGCCTAAACCGACAGTCGGACATCCCCCAAGGGGTCCTGGATTGCGAGAAGGTGCAGGCCAGGCTGAGGGACCCCTCCCCATGCACGAATTTCGTGCACTGGGCCTCTAGTGTTACAAATAAAAGGCTTGTTTCTTATTGCCAACCATCCTGACATGATATCATGTGTAAGGTGTGCTGACAGTAACTAAACTCTTTGGGTGTTTTAGTTTGAGTATTGATCTCCTTAAAAGTTGGGCTCTGATGAAATGGTGTCGGTGATTCTGCTTTTCTATGATTCTGTGACTTTTCAGAAGGAAAAGTATGAGGAGACTTAATATGGAAGAACATGCCCTGAGTAAAAAATATGAGCCTAAATGTCCAATGCTACTGTGTGAATGTTTCCTCATGTTGAAGAGCCATGGTACCACTGCTCTGTTTTCTAATTTGTTGTTTGAGTCTTTCCAAAATACCAATGGTATTTTTCACAGAACTAAAACAAATATTACTAAAATTTATATGGAACCACAAAAGACCCCATAGCCATATCAATCTTGAGAAAGAAGAACTAAGTTGGAGGTATCACTCTACCTGATATCAAACTATAGTTCAAGAACAAGTATCTAAGTATTCCATGGATGAACTCATTTAATCCTCACAACAATCATATAAAGTAGATACCATCCCCACCCTCCATCACCCTGACCCTGTTCACTTTTCTCAATAGCATTTACCACCATTAACTAACACACACACACACACACACACACACACAGAGTTCATGTTAGTACATGTCATTCCTTAACTCTGCAGATGTATCCTTCTTCCCCTGTTTATTCTTGGAAGTGGCCTTGGGAAAATTAGAATGGAGTGATGAGTCAAGATGTAATTTAACGGCAATTCCAGGAAAGTGCATCATCTCATTTTTAAAGACTAGAAAATCCACTACATTCAGGGTTGCTAAGGGACTCACCTAGGAGCCTAACTTAAGTAGTGATAGGTTTTTTAATTCTCTGGTTTTCCATTTTCTGTCAGTAGAACTAGAATATCTCCTGAATATTTTTCTTTTTTATGAAAAACAGCATCATATACAGCAGTCCCTTTAGTGGAGAAGTGTCCTGGGGCTTGTGTTAGAAGGACTAAGGCAAACAGCCAGTTCCTCTGACAGCGAATGAAAGGTGGTTTCCAGGATGCTGTTTGCTTTCTTCCTAGTAATAGCCATTTGCAAAATGCATGCACACAAAGCAGACCTTCTTTCACAGGATCTCTAAGAATTCTGCATTTACTTTTAGGTTGTCACTACTGGGAAGGAACAACTAGATTTTGAAACAGGACCAAACATGTTTGATTTGCAGATTTATGTTAAGGACGACGTGGGTGTCACTGACCTACAGATCCTAACTGTCCAGGTAACAGATGTGAATGAGCCGCCTCAGTTTCCAGGCAACTTGGCAAAAGGTAAGATACACAGGGTGTGCCATGCAGCCCAGATGGTGGCATCAGGGAGTTCCCTGGGGACAGAGCAAACCAGAAAAGTAAATGAAAAAGCAGCTGTTTCCCTGGAAAAGGCAGGTGCTTAATGTGCAGGAAATAAATAAAATGTCCCCCAGCCCAGGGCTCCCAGTAATAATGCCCAACAATTTACAAAGCCCTTCTCTTGGGTCTTTCCCAGTCCTGGGGAGGAAAAGGAGGCTCGGGACCTCAAGTGGATCATTCTGAAGGAATCTGGCCAAGCCCACCAGGCTCATCACTGTGTACTACTGGTCATTGACTGACTTGTTCATTCTCCCCAAGGACGCTGACCCCTTGAGAGCAATGTGTGCTTGGAATCGGCTACAGAGCAGAGATGACACTTTAAGGGATGGGAACATAGGATACCGTAAATTCCTGAATAATCCCCCCCTCGCTCATGGCTGTTAATGCCACCAAGTCTATCATTTTAGTCCAGGTTCTCCCCTGAACTCCACTCAAATATCCAAGTATCTCACCTAACATTTCCACTTGAATATTTAATAGACATCTGTAATATTGTGATTTATAATAAGAAATATATATTTGGTTTTCCTCCGGTTCCTGACACAAAGCTTCTAAAACCCTTGGCTTTTCTGTGATGAGAGTGATAAAGATATGTTTTGTTATGTTGATGACGTGATGTTTGGAATGGTGGCCAGCAGAGCCAATCCTGTGATTAGAGGGTTGGAACTTTCAGTCCCCTCAAACCACCCCCCCCCACACACACACACACTCTCCTCCCCAACGCCCCACCCCCACCACTGCAGAGCAGAGAGAAGGTGGAAATGGAGTTCAATCACCAATGGCCAATGATTTCATTAATCATGCCCAGGTAGTGAGGCCTCCATACAATCTAAAAGGGGTTCAGAGCGCTGCCAGGTTGGTGGAGATTCAGGGAGAGTGGCGTGCCCAGAGGGCATGGGAGCTCCGCGCCCTTCTATCTGGCTGTTCCTGAGCTGCAACCTTTTATAATAAACCAGTCATCTAGTAACTAAAATGTTCCCCTGAGTTCTGGGAGCCACTCTAGCATACGAATCAAACTCAGTGAGGGCATTTCGGGAAGCTTAGATTTAGAGCTGGTGGGTCAGAAGCATAGGTGACAACCTGGACTTGAATTCAGATGGATTTTCAGCTGATGTCAGAGAATTTCTTGGTGGTGTAGGAAACCCCCCCCCACACACACTGGAGTTGGTTGCAGATCATGATATCTCAAACTTAATGTGCTCCCATCCAAACTCTTGACTCCCACTTCAACCCCCTCACCCCCACCATCCCCACCCAAAGCTGCTTTTCTTGTCTTTCCCATTTTAATTAATGGCAACTCTGTCCTTCCAGTTGCTTGGACCAAAATTTCAAAGTCAATCTTGACTTTTTTCTGTCTTTCACATCCAACATCAAATCCATTAGGAAATGTTGTCACCTTGTAAATCTATGCAGAATCCAACCGTCCCTAGCCTCTTCACCGCTACCTCCATGGTGCAAGCCACTAGCCATGTCTCGCCTGAATTACTACAATGGCCCGCTTACTGGGCTCCGCTCTGCCCTTGCTCCTACAGCTGATTCTCCATACAGCAGCCAGGGAGATCCTGTCAAACATCCGTTAAATCAAGGCATTCCTCTGCTTAAAACCCTACAAGGGCCTCTCATCTCACCCAAAAGGAGAGCCAGAATCCCCTTAAGGCCCCATCAGATCTGGCACGCCCACACCACCCTCCCCACCTACCACGTTGTCTCCCACATGTCTCCCCCTCAATCCGCCGCGCCAGCAGTCCTAGTCTTCTCACCAATCGGTGAGCACCTCAGGCACAACCTACCACGGCATCTCTCTCGGCATTTGCTGTGTCCTCTGCCCCCTCCTGCTCCATATCTCTGAGGCTCCTCCTCATTTCTCTTAAGAATCTTCATTCAACTGACAATGAACTTCCATAACCACTCTATTTAATGTTGTAACCCAACTCACAACACTGCTTCCCTGATTTTTCTCCATAACATTGTTCAGTAACATTCACACATTTTACTCATGTATTATCCATATCTTCCCACAGATTTCAAGTTCATGGGAGCAGGATTTTGTGAACTGCTGTATTCCCAAAGTGTAGATCAGTGCTTGCTATGTAGTGAGAACTCAGTAAATGCTTTTTTTTTAAATGAAAGCATGAGCAGTGATAAGATAGATGAAAGCTGAAGTCAGATGGCTTGAGTTTGAGTTTTGATTCTATTACTTACTAGCTGAGACAACCCAATAACTCCTATGAGCCTGTTTTCTTGTTTATAAAGCAGAGAAAATGACCATGCCTACTTTCTAGGGCTGTTGTGAAGATGAAAGGGGAAAACATACAGGGTGGGGCAAAAGTAGGTTGACAGTTGTGTGTATGGAATATAATTCAATAGTTAATAAATAATAATATGAGAATAAACTGTTTTGTGTTCTTGCAACTGCAAACCTACTTATGCCCCCACACTATACACTAAGTCAGTGATGGCGAACCTTTGGAGCTCCGTGTGTCAGCATTTTGAAAAACCCTAACTTAACTCTGGTGCAGTGTCACATATAGAAATTTTTTGATATTTGCAACCATAGTAAAACAAAGACTTATATTTTTGGTATTTATTTTATATATTTAAATGCCATTTAACAAAGAAAAATCAACCAATAAAATGAGTTCGCGTGTCACCTCTGACACGCGTGTCATAGGTTCGCCATCACTGCACTAAGTCCTCAGCACAGTGCCTTATAAAAGAGTGAGTTAACCTTAGCCTTCTCGCTCATCTCTTGATCAGAGACATTCTCAGAAAGGGAGAGGCCAGGGCAGAGAGCATGGTGGCCCTCAGGCAGGGCTGGGGGTGCCCAGTGGCACTGCCTGCCCCTCCCTCCGCATGAGCACCAAGAACTCTGAAGTGGATGAAATCAATGTTTGGTCCCTTTCCTGGGCCTCTCTCTGCAACCCTCTCTCAGTGGAAGTGAGTCCTTGAAATGAGAGGCCTTATGATGGAACAGAAAGGCTAAGTGAAGGTCAAGGGGTGGCCTCAGCTCAGGTTGGGAGGAATTTACACATTAAAGGGGCTCTGAAACTTGGAGCAGCCTCACCCTGGAGGTTACTTTTCAACTCTCTGCCCTTATCACCTCCCTCTCTCCCACCGAACAACAGGACCCCAGGTCACCTCTCATTAGAGGAAACATGGGAAGACTCGATTACCAGCGAGGCCAACCCTAATACATTGCTAATTCCCATAAAAGGATCCACTCCTGCAAGTTGGCCGTGGTCTCACTCGTGGCCTTTGTTATTGCTGCCCTCTTTCCCGCAGTGCCAATACACTTCATTTCCTTGGCTGTGTTTGGTTTCCTTTGGCTCACCTGGTTTGGGGATTTCTCATTTGCTTTATCTAATAAAATGTTTCTTATTCCACTGTGTACGTGGGTGTAGGTCTAGACCTCTACATAGTGGAAGGAGCAAACCCTGGATTCAGTTACCAGGTTGAGGCCTTCGATCCAGAAGATACAAGTCAAAATATACCCCTCAGTGTAAGTCTCCTTGTTAACCTGGCGAGGGGCTGACCCAGGAGCCTGGCATCTCGGCAGGGTGGGCTTGGGCAGCGGTAATGGGAGAAATATGCTGCTAAAGCGTAGAGGGCAGGGGAGGTGGGAATCGGAAAGGGACTCTGGAGACAGATACCTCAGATTGGGTTCATGGCTCTGTGTGATCTTGGACAAGTTCTTAATCTCTCTGAGCTTCAATTTCTTCGTCTAATAAGAGCACCTACCTCGGTAGGGGTATCATAAGTATTAGAGAATGCACGTAAAGCCACTGAGCACAATGCCTGCCTCGCATATTAAAATTGCTCAGTGTTTTGTTTCTTTAATTCGAAGGTGATAAAAATCCAGCTATATTATTTTAAAAATAAGCATAAAATGTATACTCCAAAGGCATTAGCATTTCCTTTTCAGAGATGAAGCCACGCTGCTTGGAGCCGAGTTAAAAAAAAAAAATTAAAAACGAGTCCCAGGAATTCCAAAGAAAAGGAGGAATTCCATAGAGAAAAGCAGATTAGGTCCTGGAGAGTCGCTTCATGGTTCAGTCTGAGACCGCTGATCTCTCTTCTCTACCTATAGAGCTCTTGTAACCACCAAACCTTAGGCAAAGAAGCCTCTTAGCTTGGCAAGGATGCTTCAGTGCCTAGCTCTGCCCCTTGAAGCTGGGCAGCCCAGGTGGGAGAGAATAATGCCAGTGGACTAACCTTGGAGCAGGCTACCTCCTGCAGACCCTGCCTTACAGCAAAGAGAACACTTGAAATATGACACTCAGGGAATTGGTAACACCAGGAGGCTGTTTTTGCTGTTTGCTGCATGATTTGCAGCTTCAACAGGACTACTTTTTCTAAGAGGAGGAAGTGAGCCTTGGGAATAAACTCCAGGACCAATATAATGTGGTCCACAGGGTCTGAAATAAAGCTGTTTAAGATTATTGGCTACATCTTAAGTTAGAGAATAGTCAATGTTATTATTAGAAGATATCCCTCTGTCAAAAAATAAAAGCAACTGTTAACAAATCCAAAAGACAATGGAGAGGAAAAGGGGAGACTTTATTCAGGTAATAGTTCCTGACCCACCAATTGGTCCTATTTTATGTAAATGAGAATTCTAAATTGCACAGTTCTAATTGGTCAACATCATGCACTCTGATTGGTCATTATGGAGCAATTCTGATTGGTTAGTGAAGATGCAAATAAAGATATAGCTATGAGATTCTGATTGGATGGAGTAGGTCTCAGTTCATTGGTTGAAAACAAAAACTAGGAACTGTCTTGTAAAGTGAATTCAAACAGCAGGAGACCAGTGCAGGAGGTTGAAAGCTCTGTCTGAGATTCTTCCTGGTGTACAGAATATGTGAGAGCCTCTGTCAGCAGATGGCCACTAGACTGTCGTTATTTATAAAAGCTGGGCCCTCAGTTGACTGTGGGGAGTCCATCTCAGCAGATAAATGTCTTTTCTGGGATCACATCAAATGAATCTTCTCAGGATCCATATAACCTATTCATTTATTTAAGATTCTATTTGCAGGAATAAGTAAATGAATATGCAAACACTTAATGGGTTTCTACTATGTGCTAAGAGCAATACTAGGTCCTTTAAATGCATACTTATTAATAACATACTTATTATACCAGTTATAAATATGTTTGTCTGAAAAGAATAGAAAACTTAACCACAGTGGCAGATATAGGATTTTCTTCTCCTATAAGAAGTTCAGAGACAGGTATTTGCTGCCTAGTTCAGAGCTAGTGTAGCTGCTGCCATCAAAAACCTGGGCTCTTCCTATCTTTCTGCTTTTCCATCCAGAACATACTGGATTTGTTTACAAGATGGCTGCTACATCTCCAGCCTTTACTTCTAAGTTCCAGGTAGGAAGAAGGAGAAGGAGAAAGAAAAGGTGGAGGAGAAGGAGGAGGAGGAGCAGGAGGAGGGGAGGAGGAGGAGGAGGAGGAAGAGGAAGGGGCAGAGGAGGAGCAGGAGAAGGAGAAGAAGGAAGAGACTGAGGAAGAATAAAAGGAGGAGAAAGAAAATAAGAAAGGGTAGAGGGTGAAGGGGGCAGTCCAGGCCAGTCTGTCCCCTTTTTTGGTAGGAAAACAAAGACCGTCCTGGAAGCCCTAACCAGAAGACTTCTGCTCACTTCCCACTGTCCAGAACTCTGTCCTAGGGCCACTGTTGCTTGATGGTGACGAGGGAAAAAGGGATTTTGGGTGGAGATTACGTCAGCAACCTCAAGTTATACACTTAAACATTTAGTTCATTTCAACGTTTACCAAAAATCCACTATGTGCCAGGTTTTCTGTTAGCTACTTTGGATACAAAGCTGACTAAGACACATTTTTGTACCTCAAGAAGTTCACAGTCTAGATCAGTGGTTTTCAACCTTCTGGCCCTTTAAATACAGTTCCTCATGTTGTGACCCAACCATAAAATTATTTTCGTTGCTACTTCATAACTGTAATGTTGCTACTGTTATGAATCATAATGTAAACATCTGATATGCAGGATGGTCTTAGGCGACCCCTGTGAAAGGGTCGTTCGACCGCCAAAGGGGTCGCGACCCACAGGTTGAGAACCACTGGTCTAGATAGATGGAAGGCATTCATGCATAATCCAAATAATTATACTTCAGTAAGATAATTACTGTAAAGTGTGTACAAAATGTGGTAGGAGCAAAGTGGGAGGAATCTCAGCTGTAAAGAGAAATATTTGCCGAAACCAGTTTGGCTCAGTGGATAGAGCGTCGGCCTGTGGACTGAAAGGTCCCGGGTTCGATTCCGGTCAAGGGCATGTACCTGGGTTTCGGGCACATCCCCGGTGGGGAGTGTGCAGGAGGCAGCTAGTCGATGTTTCTCTCTCATCGATGTTTCTAACTCACTATCTCTCTCCCTTCCTCTCTGTAAAAAATCAATAAAATATATTTTTAAAAAAAGAGAGAAATATTTATTTTTAGACATCCATTTGTACTATATTGTTCCAATTTATGCAGAAGGAACAAGGTCATGGTCCCTTTAAACCAGTGGTTCTCAACCTTGGCTGCACATTAGAATCACCTGGGACTCTTTTTAAAACCCTGATTTCTGGGCCTCATCCTCCGGAAATTCTGTTTCTTTGTTACTAATGTTGTGGCCCCACCCCATAACAAAGAAACAGCATTTCCGGAGGATGAGGCCCAGAAATCAGTATTTTAAAGATTCCCAGGTGATTCTAATGTGCAGCCAAGGTTGAGAACCACTGATCTAAACTTACCTCCTAGAATCTAGATCAAGTTGTCCCTTTCTGATGAAGGGAAGCTGTCCAGGTAGGGAGCAATGCAGCAGGTGTTGCTCCCTTAAAAGAAAATGTACTGCAATCGAAAAGGGCGAAGAGCAGCTGCAGGGATGTGGCGCCTGGAACTGAGTGGCTTCTGCAGAGTTGTTGGAGGAGGGAGCACTCCCAGTGGCAGCAAAGTGTTAATGAGTATTTAACACCTGTGCTGGAATGAACAGCTGCGCAGAACGTTGACAGCCCGCCTGCAGGAGCAGTGAACATAATCTAGAAGGAAACTTTCTCAGGCTAGAAAAAGGTAGTAACAGTTTAGGAAGTAACATAGGATGGCCTTTGTGCTTCGACATTTTATTTTGGGCTCTTGGGGGTACTAAATGACATATTTTTGCTCTGTACAAGGAGAAAGGAGATGGGTTAATGTGCTATTGATCAAACCTGTGCTTTTCAACCTTGGCTGTAAACTGAAGCCACCAGAGGAACTTAAAAAACAACAACATCCAGATGTCTGGGTCCCGCCCCCTAAAAGTCTGATGTAATTGACCCGGACAGTGGCCCAGGTGTCAGGCTTTAAAAGTGTGGCTCAGTGGTTGAGCGTAGACCCATGAACCAGGAGTTCAGGGTTCAATTCCTGGTCAGGGCACATGCCCAGGTTGCAAGCTCGATCTCCAGTGGGGGGGCATGCAGGAGGCAGCTGATCAATGAAATCAATAAAAACATATTTTTAAAAAATTATAAATTAAATATTTTAATATTTTAAAATTAAATATTTTTAAAAAATAATAAAAGCCCCCTGGCGATCTCAGGTACAAACAAGGGCTGCTTTGAAACAGTTTCCCAAACTTCCCAATTCTCTCAGTTTTGGATTCTGTGGATCTGGGATGGTCCTGGGAATCTGCAAATTTGCCAAATATCCTGGGCAATTCTTCTGGTCAGAAAGGCCGGGAACACTAGTTTATGAGTGTTTCTCAGAGGGGTCAGGCCCCTGTGTGAGAAAATACATAGGCTGCTTTTTTAAATGCAGAGTCTTGGACTGCACATCAGAATGCTGAATTGGAACACTTCCCGGGTGATTCTGATGCATCTACCCTTTGAGAACCACTGAACTGAACAAACAAGTACAGACTTTAATACACACCAAAGCATGTGCATGAAGCCACTAGGCTTGGTCTGTGCCTGTCATCTTACCCGGTGTGTCCCAGGAGTCACTTTGCTGGTGACAGCAACTAGCAGAGAAAGGATGAATTAAAACTTGCTCTAGGACATGTCCAGAAACCCCAACTGCTTTAAAATGACAAATCCTTATCCAGCTTAATGAAGTGAAACTGTGTCACAGAGGAAGTGAAATTGGGGCTAATGCAGAAACCGCTGGTATTTGCTTCCTCGTTTTTAGAGAAATTCAAAGAGCATGTGGTTGTAAATTGTTGGGACCAGCACTGCTCAATCGAGCTGGAATTTGACCGGAAAAGAATGCTGCGTATATATAATTTTAAATGTTCTGGTAGCTCCATTCAAAAAGTAAAATGAGACAGGTGGAATTAATTTTAATATAGTTTAAGCCAATATGTCTGAACTATTATCATCTCAACATATAACCAACATAAAAACGATTTATGCAATATTTCACACCTTTTTAAAAAATATATATTTTATTGATTTTTTACAGAGAGGAAGGGAGAGGGATAGAGAGTTAGAAACATCGATGAGAGAGAAATATCCATCAGCTGCCT